GTCGCGGAGAACCTAACGGGTAACCGGGGCTCCGGCTCGACGTGCAGGAGAAGGAACGGGGTGGTTTTTAGTCAGTAAGAGTCTGACACTCCCTCCCGCCTCACCCAGGCGGGGGCAGTCATTCGATGATTTTCCCCCCTTAAAAAAAAAAAAAAAACCTTAATAACCTGAACAGCATTACGCTGCAATTTGCATCCATTTTTTATATACAGACGTGGCATACAATCGGTTGTATAACTCCTTGATGATACTGTTTGTGTGATTTTTGAATGTCTCAGTGGAGATTAACCTGAACATAGATCTACGCAAGACATAGTATATTTTTGTGTCCTATAATACCGGCAGTGAAGGTGTTAATCGAAAATAAAAAAATAGTCACATACATAACTGAAAAAAGGTCATTGCCTTACTTCAAGGTACATTTTTGTATGTAGGAATGACATAGTTAGCTCCCAATCCTGTACTTTAATTTGTTTTCTCTGAGTATTGAATATACAACTAAATCAACAAATATGTGTATAATATTTTTCATTGCACGACGGCCTGAATAGATTAACAATTTTATTAAATAATGAAATGTCTTTCAAGCACTATGTTTCATTCTTAGCTGTAATATGAAATCTGTATCATATGAGCTATTGTTTAAGATTCAATAACATAAAACCATATTTCACTGTTATCAGATAATAACACATTGTAGTTTGTAATAGAAATGAAATAAGTTATTACAACTGGGAATCTTTTTATTTAAAAGTTAATCAACTACTCTAACTTTTATTTTCTTTGTTAGTGTTTGAGTTTTATAGTTTTAAATATAAATATTATGGTGTACACAGTAATTTAAACTGTCCAACACCAAGCGGTCACCGGTGACTGCAACCTATTGTTCTATAATTGTGTATATAATGACGGTACTCGATGAGTTAATAAACATCCATGTCCATGTCAATAAACTTACAGACCAGTAACAAGTGGAGTGTTATGAATTTCTGCTAGTCGTTGCATGGGATCATGTGTTTGCTGGTACAGTCTAGTGAAGTAGTTATGCTGAGCTTTAGTCATTTTTGGTGTAGGCACAGAGTCGGGAAATGGCTACAGACTGCTTCCAATTACATGGTACTCATAACATAACTGGCGTACCGTATACGTAGCTTCGCCCCGGCGCCACCAGCCCCACCTGAGAACAAAAAGTGAAAAGGTTTTTTCAAGGAATTGAAACGCAACAGAATTTCGGCAAGACAATAGACGATAGGTTTTAGCCATAATAAAGTACATTCTTTACGCCTTTACCTATTTCTCCAAGGAAAAAGACGTGATTATTAGTATAATTCATTATGTATTTATAATATTTCGATGTTATCTCTAATATTGATGACAGTAGCAATATTTTTGTAACTAATTATGTTCCCAAGGTCCATGACTAGGCAGTTATATCAAGATTTAGCTGTTACATCGTCATAAGTGAATCACTAGACAATTGAAATACAACTCTATCTTTCAAAGTCTAACGATGTAATTGCTGTAGACATGTTATTCGATGTATGAATGTATTTAATTTTGAATGGAAGCCTTAGTAATGGTTCTGTTTCGTGATTTCTTCTATTCACATGTTAAATATTACGTATTTCCTAACTGACTCGTTTATCGAGTGATGACGATTGACGAGTATCGAGCTGTTTTGATTGGTTCTAAGGGAGGGCAAAGCATATTTGGTGTTTTAAAATGTAGAGGCCTGTATCTAGAACAATGCCCGCCACTTAGTTTATGTAAATATACAAAGAACCACTACTCTACCTAACCCTTCCTTTACCGAGGCCTTTCGATATTGGTAGGAGTGATATTTATGTATTTTTTATTGATTTGGTTTGTTTTCTAGGTCGGAAGGCTGCTGGTCGGTCAGGATGGTATCCTCTCCACTCCCGCTGTCTCCTGCATCATCAGGAAATACAAGGCTCTTGGTAAGTACAGGGTGTTTAGCGCATTGACTGACATATTTTTTTTCCGGAATTCGGGCTATCATTAGCTAGCTTCTCAACCCTTCGTAGAACTTCTATTATTAATGTGGTTTGAATGGAAATTAGACCAACCAACTAAGGGACTACATATTTAAGAGACACCGAACAGTGCTTTTTCGTAAATCGGCCTTATGAATCCGCCCGCCGAATCTCTTTTTTACAAACCCAGTAATACTTTGTCCGACCCGGGAATCGAACCCGAGACTCCTCGCCGTAGTCGCACTTGCGACCACTCGGCCAACGAGGCAGTATGAACAGCTGTCCTCAGAATAAAAACGGAGGTGTGGTTGTAGGTATAACTTATCGACCTTCGCGACAAGTGTAGGTACCTACCTATAAATAGCCTAAACGTGTCTAGATTTCCAATATCACTGTCGATGATACGTCAATGAATTGCTGATATCATGATGATGTTGGGGCCTATCGAGTGCCAATGACGCGGTCATTTAGATCGAGATTGTACTGATAATATGATAACGATGTTTTCATTGTCAGGTAGGTGTTGTACTCACTGTATGATTTCACAAGTGCATGGCATGTAATTGCGTTAGGTGTGAGATTTTAATCATGGTGACTTTGAATTTTTTGGATTAAATTGATTTTTACCGACTTCAAAAAAAGGAGGAGGTACTATGTTCGGCTGATTTTTTTTTTTTTTTTTTTTTTTTTTT